GAAATGCAAAGCCCGGCAGAATCACAGGGATATTTTGTTGTCGGAATAAAAATGAGAGAAAAGATACCGGTACACTTTGCAAGTCAGTTCATTCAGGGTAGATCATCCTACCAAATTCTGGAGACAGAGGTGCTGGCCGAGGTCTTGGAATCCACCAGGGTGGAGGAGGTGGCGGATAGCCCATGAAGGATTCTTTGTAGCCCCCCATGTGGTAGGGCATGTAGGGTGGTCTTGGGAAAGGAGGAGGTCCTCCTGCAGCCATGCTGACCTGCAGAGCAGAAGTTAACATTTTGAAGTAGATTAATATCATGGGCAACACCAATACCAACACAACTGAATCACAGTACAGCAGGTGATAATGGCGGGCGCCTTCCTCTCCACCAGGTATTAAATAAGCAGCCTCAGCACCACAAAACTCTCCTCTTCCACTGGATCCCAACAGCTTGAGGAGTGAAGGGAAGTCACAGGATGAACTGCTGTCACCACACATCACTGTCCATGTCTGCAGAGGTATGTCCCAGAGAAACAGTGCCATGGCAAACTGATAGACACACACTCCATACAGATGACCTCCATGTCAAGGACTACCCAACATATCCACAGACATTTCCTGCACATTAAAAAGAGATGATTGAAGGAGGGGAAAGTCCACTTTGCACACATTAGAGGGCCTCTCCCAATCCCTGCTTCCCTCCCTGGCTGAGGGTCTCCTCACTGGGGGTGCTGCCCCTGGACACAGGATCTCCTGGGGAATGCAGATTCCTGATGTCTTGTAGGGAAACTGGGAATGTGATTTTCCAGAAACCATGTTACCCACTGGAGTTAGGTAGGCACGGGTATCTATCTTAATTCATAGGCAAGACTGAATTGGAAGTACTCTGGGAGCTGCACACTACTTTTATCTCCTACACAAACAAGGTGGGAAATAAGAAAGTTAAAACAAGGTACATTTTCATTTCAAACTACAGATGTCCAGTGGCATCTGAATGGAAAATCACCAACATCAGCATCTACACAGGTCACACAAAAACCTGCATATGGGAACCTCAATTAGGCTCTCCTGGGAATTGGCCTTGCAGGTAAATGCTGGTGAACACTCTTCACTATCTCACAGCAGGTGAGCATTTGCCATTCTGCAAACATGATCCCTGAAGCTTCAGAATATTCCACAGAGGGCCCCACTGGAGGGTTTTCTGCACAGCCCATTTACCAAGAGAAATGAGACAGTGATTTGCTTTGTCCAAGAGCATTCAATATTGAACAAAACACAAAAAATCATGGATTCTGTGGGTGAAGATGTTCTGAATGGTTAAACAACCTAAATCAAAACAGGAAAGGAGGTATTTTATTCCGACAATGAAATGTGGCCTGGCCACCTCCCAGGTTGTAGAAGCTTGGGGGGAGTCACTATGCCATGAGGCTGAAGGTCACAGCCATCTTCTCTGCCAGTGATTTCCAGGAACTGACAAGCAAACCTTCAGGCTTCGGCCTGTAAAGCACCAGCACAGATGCTGAGCTGGAAAAGGAGAGGCCCACAGGCTCGTGGGGGAAGGCTTGGCTGCTTTGAAAAGTTACAGACACAGAAAAGGTATCACAGCACACACAGTCAGAAAATAATGGAAGAGAGAGTGCTGTATATGCAATGATCAGGTTTCAGGAAATCATTACAAGGAAAACGACCACAGCAATTACCTGTTCCTTCCTGGTGTCCTCAGCAGGGGATGAGCCTTGGTTCTTCATGTGACCTGCACAACTTCTGGAATCTGCCCAACAAGAGACAGCACTGTATTCTTTCTTAACAAAATGTTTATATATATATATATATATATATATATATATATATATATATATATATTCAAAAGGCAGAGACAGACAAATTCCATCTGCGGGTTCACTCCCCAAATGCTAGCAATAGCCAGGCTGAGGCAAGCAGCAAAGACCTCCATCCAGATCTCCTACATGCTTGTCAGGGACTCAAGTGCTTGAGCCACCATCTACCACCTCACAGGCACATTAGCAGGAAGGTAGATCGGAAGCAGAGGCAGGACTTAGTCTCACACAGTCCTCTGATATAGGACACGAGCATCCCAAGAGGCAGGTTTCCTGGGAGGAAATGGGGTTATTCTGCCTCAGTGTTGAGAAAACCCGCACACCTTTTCACCCTCTAAACTCAATCCCATGTTGGGTTTCTGGTCAGAGGCCCAGGGTTTACCAGGTGCCTCAGAAGAGCCCTGAGTACAAGGGGGAGGCCCATGTCCTCACTGAGGATGATGCCACCTTAGCCTGTGCCAGGGGTTCTCACCACAAACCAACTCATTGTACCTAAGTCAGTGCTAAAATTAGCTGGAAATGATATACATACCTAATATGTATAGAGGAAATTATAGTTTAAGAACATCCTTGGATATAAAGAATATCAATAAACCCTGGCCAACCATTTATAAATGGAAAAGGACTTAACTATATTAATGATGAGAGTGATGACAAAAGGAAAATGTTTTCATTGGGTTTATTGTAAAATTTGAGGGTTATAATAATATAGAAATGAAATTACATAGAAAATTAATTTACTGATGGAGCTCTATAGTTGACAGTAAAGGAAAAAAAAGCCAAAAAATAACACAGGCTGACTGCTGTAAAGCAGAGCTTGCAGAATATTACTAGAGGGACGATAGTCCAGGACATTTCCTCTCTTATCAGGATGTACAACCTTTATTGTCAAGTACTGTTGGTGCTACTAAGGCCTCTATCACTGACTCAAGGTGGACAGGAGGATCTGGCCAGGTTCCCTTCTATGCCCTTATTGTCAGTTAAAAATAACTGAGTTCAGGCTGGCTCCGCAGCTCACTAGGCTAATCCTCCACCTTGTGGTGCCGGCACACCGGGTTCTAGTCCCAGTCGGGGCACCAGATTCTGTCCCGGTTGCCCCTCTTCCAGGCCAGCTCTCTGCTGTGGCCAGGGAGTGCAGTGGAGGATGGCCCAAATACTTGGGCCCTGCACCCCATCGTAGACCAGGAGAAGTACCTGGCTCCTGCCATCAGATCAGCGTGGTGCACTAGCTGCAGCGGGCCAGCCACGGCGGCCATTGGAGGGTGAACCAATGGCAAAGGAAGACCTTTCTCTCTGTCTCTTTCTCTCTGTCCACTCTGCCTGTCTAAAAAAAAGATTAAAAAAAATAACTGAGTTCAAGTGCAGTTTAGGAGAGTCCCCAGTCAGTATTGGGGTCTGAGTTCTACCCTGCCTGGGGTCTGGTTGAAGAGCCACTTGTCCAGGGCACATGAGGAAAACGGCACCCAGCCTCCCTGCAGGACAATCATTTCTCTTTGCTAAGTGCATGGAACTCCTCAGGAAATGGAACAATCACTGCCCAGAGTGAGAAGCTGAGGGTGTGGAATCTGCAGGGGACATGAAGCTATCACCCTCCTTCCACACTGCTCCTACCTCTCCGTGGAGGGTTCTCCCAGCCAGGTCCCCCTGACACTGGCTTCTGCCTCCTGGATTCCTCTGCCTGCATTATTTCCAATCTTGAAGATAGAGAAAAAACAGATTTAAGTAACAGAACACACACATACACACCCCAGAACAAGTCCTTTACTAGACACTCAACAACTTAGTCTTAAATCAGAGACACGCTTAAAATGCCTGCTCTTTCATGCACCTGTGTTGCAAGTGGGCAGTCTCCCTCTTCTGCACCATCAACTCCCGCTCCAGAGCTTGAGCCCTGAGCTGTGGGGAGGAAAATACATGCACATTCAGTTGTGGAGAAGAGGGCAGAATGGAAACAACACATGAAAAATTTTTACCTCAATATCATGAGCCTTTTGTTTATGAACAGCAATCTGAAAAGGCCAACACAGAAAGTGAGGGCTTAGGGACTCTCAAGGGCCCTTTAACCATCCGCATTAAGACATGGAGGATGGTGCAGCTATTGGGCAGCATGCAGTTACCTCCTGTCTGAAGGTCTCCTTTTCTCGCTGCTGCTGAGCCTGCATTTCTTGCAGTCTTCTCCTGTGATTCAGAATCACTTTCATCAGATAAAGTACAATGTTGACTATCAATTTAAACAGCTTCCCAATGTTACGCTATCCTCAGATGTCAAAAATACTCAACATGGGCCGGCGCCACGGCTCACTAGGCTAATCCTCCGCCTAGCGGCGCCGGCACACCGGGTTCTAGTCCCAGTCGGGGCGCCGGATTCTGTCCCGGATGCCCCTCTTCCAGGCCAGCCCTCTGCTGTGGCCAGGGAGTGCAGTGGAGGATGGCCCAGGTGCTTGGGCCCTGCACCCCATGGGAGACCAGGAAAAGCACCTGGATCCTGGCTCCTGCCATCGGATCAGCGCGGTGCGCCGGCCGCAGCGCGCCGGCCACGGCGGCCATTGGAGGGTGAACCAACGGCAAAGGAAGACCTTTCTCTCTGTCTCTCTCTCTCACTGTCCACTCTGCCTGTCAAAAAAAATAAAAAATAAAAAAAAATACTCAACATGATTGTAACAGTACAGAAAGAGTAAGCCCTACTGCTGCATCATTCCCTTATCCTTTATGTTACACCTGCAGGATTCCCAGCTGATGTCATCTCCTTATTTCCCTAGTTTTTCCTCCCTTGTGTGTCTTTTATCATAAAAGTCCATTCTATTACTTATATCCTTGCCATGTTTCTGAGGGCAGCAAGAACCAGGTCTATAAAATGGGGACAATCATTGTAATGGATTTGATCCATCCTACAATGAACTGTCTTCCTTAGGATTAGGAAGGTGGATTCTCACCACCCCAAAAAACAATCGAGTTTCCATGCAGTCAGGCCAGCATTTGGAATCAGGAACTGTGTAGGAACAGTATCACTTGGTCATTTGTAAACTTAAAATACTTGGTATAATCTTGTATGAATCGTCTCTATGTCTCTTGAACATTGCTTACAGTTTTCTTTTAACTGGGCCTAAGCATTATACAGTTAATCCAACCTTTGTTTCTGGACTGGTTATTTAGTCTCTGGACTCACACATAGTTCTCAATTTCTTCTTCAGCCCATTTCAAATTCTCCTCTTTCTCTGACAGCTTCATCTCCTTTTCCATCCACTCTTGTTTCCCTGCCATCTTCCTAGGATGGGAAAGAAATGCATATTTCCCAGAAGCCCATGTGGGATTATGCCTCCCCACTTGCTAACACTCTGAGTGCATGATGGGAAAGTCCCCTTGCAGGTATCCGTATAAACACACAGACCCACAAACAGTGCAGAATCAGAAGTGAAGCCTCCCACTAACAGAAGATGATCCATTGGCCAGCTGGCAAGTTCTCTCTAATTACTGTGTGCTCCTATGCATTAGCAATAAGTCAATGAATATACATAGCACCTGACACTAAGCAGTTGTGACTTTGAAATGGTGAACACACATTTGTGGAAAAGCAGGTCAAATCACTTCATCACTATTAATCCCATTAGGATGAGACAGGGGTTCTCACTCATCTGCCTCCACCCATGGAGGAATGTGATTCACAGTCTGGCTGGGACCAGACAACCTGATCTACAGAGATCCTTCCAGCTCATGGAGCACAGGAAATACACTGGCCTTTGCAGTAAATGACCTCCGCTGCTGAATGAATTAACAGCTCCCATACTGCCAGCATCCTTGCCTGAGGCCATCTCCTTATTTTCCAAAGCTAGATCACATCCCGCCACATTTTAATTTTTTCCCAATATTTTTACTCAATGACAAGCATTCAATTAGAAATGACTAGACACAAGAAGGAAAACAAAATGTGATATGACCAAAAAACCCAATAATATAAAGGTACACAAGAGAGGTTGAACAGCTGCTCCCTGCTGATGGCCTGAAAATGCCCAAATCTTTGGGCCCCTGCATCTGCACCCGGAAGAAGCTCCTGTCTCCTGGCTTTGTATCAGCTCAGCTCCCTCCATTGTGGCCATTTGGGGAGTTAGCCAGCAGACTGAAGACCTTTACCTCTGTCTCTCCTTCTCTCTGTAACCCTTCCTCTCAAGTAAATAAATATCAAAAAAAGAGAGAGAGAGATAGAATGCAGACATGGACATTCATGATGCTCATATCAGTTCTTCCAGTACCCACAAATAAATTACATAAATTACAAAGGAGTGTATGACAAAAAGCTGAAAGGGACAGAAAAGTGCATATTACAGGAATCAAGGTAAAAAGGATGAGCAGAATTCTGTACTGACTGAAATTAGCACTAACATTACTGAGTCAGTTTAGGACATCTTACTTTGTAGCAGCTGCCACCTTCAGTTTGTAGATTTCATGAAAACTCTCCATATTCACATCCATCAGTTTGATTTCAGATTCCTTTGCTGCTTTCATGGACTTCAAGGTATTACAGCTTTGTTCCAGGTTCTTTTTACTTTCTGTAAAAGATAAAAGTTTTCTTTGTGTGTGTGCACATGGACCCAAGGAGTTGGCTGGAGTTGAGAGAAACAGCAAGGACCCTGGAGACAGGAACCACTCTTCACCTTCCCAATGCAGATGTATTTACACTAGACAGGACCTCCCTCTAATGAAGGAACGTACCTTCCAGCATCCATATTTTGGCCCTCAAGGCTCTCAGCTGTAAATCCTTGACTCCATCATTTTCATCTTCCGACTTTAACAGATTTTTAAGAAAAGACATTTAAGAAATGGTTGCAGAACAATGCAAATGTCATTACTACTACAGAAATGCACACGCATATTGTTCAATAGATAATTTTACATCACCACAGACTTTATAGTTAATTTTAGTTTAGAACAACTAATTTAAAAAAGGTAAAAAGGAAATAAGAAAGTTCAGTTTTCTGGATCACAGTCTCTCTTCAAGAATGTGACTAATTTTGTTACCTGCTCCTACTAGATTGTCAACTAAGTATTTTACTTTTATAACTGAATTTCCCTGCACTGAAACCAATTTCATTAAAGGTGATTGGAGCTTAACTGAAAACACTGTAATTAGTTACTTCACAAGAACAAAATTCCACATAGCTATCATATAAATTTAATCTTCAAAAATGAAATATTTCTCATTGGAGATAAAATGTACAATAGAAATATTGAAACTATTATAGAAAGTTTACCTCTGAAATTCCTGAGTTGTTCATTGAAATAACTTCTTTCAAGTTTTCAGTAGATTTCCCTTTTTCAAATGCCTGCACATAAGATAGAAACAAAACAAGTGCTAAGGTTTACAAATAGAGGCAGGAGTTTCACATGGTGGTTAAGACTCTGCTTGGGAAACATGTATTCCATATTGGACTGCTTGACTTAATGCCCTGGCTCTGCTCCCAAGTTTATCTTCCTGCTAATGCACACCCTGCACAGCAGCCATTGATGGATCAAGTACGTGGGTCCCTGCCAACCACATGAGAACACAAGCTGAGTTCTAGTTTCCTATCACTGGCCTGGCTGGCCCATGGCTATCACAGGCATTTGAGGGGTGAATCCACAAACGAGAGCACTCTGTGTTAGTCTGCATCTCTACTTGTAAAGTCAAATGGAGAAAGAATTAATTCAAGTGCTTTTTAATTCCACGAAAACACTAGCTGAAACAGCCAAAAAGCTGAAACAGCAATCAAGCACATCCCACGGCTAACTCTATATGTTATGGGCATATCATGGATCCAGATTGGGTCTAGAAGAACTGTCAAGAATATAATGAAATGAGAGGGAAAACACACTGAAGTAAGAATACTTTGTGTCATAAACAATCTTTCTGCTTAGGAGATAATGAGAGAAATGAATGAGAAGTCAAAAGCAAATAATGTAAAAATTTGTTCAAGTCAAACTGCTTGAATGAACTTTTCTTAATGGAACAGCTTTTCTTATTGGAATATTAAGGGAATAAAAATAACTCTCAGATTTCACTGACAATTTATTTCCTGAGCATTAAGAGGGGTAGGGGCTGTTTAAGTTCATCTAAACAGTCCCTACCCCCTTAATATTCCTTAGCTTTTCACACATTTCCTAAATATCTTGCAGGACAGCAATGAATGTTACAATAATTGCCCAGACAGGAAATCAAACACACTTCTTGGATCCCTCAATTTAAGATGTTACTTCAGTGTTTTTACAATAGCATTGAACATTTTTTTGGAAGAAGGTTCATCCCCCATATTCTTAGACTTTTACTCTGTGAAAAGCAATATAAAATGTACCAGCTGGCTCACTAAATGGACAAATAGGCTCAGAAGCCAAATTATGGTAAAATATAGGAGCCAAATTACTACCACATCATGATTCTTAGCATTCTGATCTCTTCCAGACTGCAGGTTATATGTACCTTGTACGTGGTAATTTTAGTGTTGTCACTTTTTTGCATTATCCTTCAATACAGCATATTGCATCCAGAATATTTATTTCTTTTACTTGTTTTTATAATGGATTTAATAAAGGCAAAAGGTTTTTACCTTAAGTTTCATTGATTCATCAGAGACCACCTTTTTTTGTCTTTTAGTCTCCTGAAGACGTTTTTTTGACTCAGTGATCTATATGTATATGTAATAAAGAATCAAAATACAAAAATGTTAATTAGAGGGCCACGTAACACCTATCCTCATGTATGATTCATTACACAAGTGAACAGAGCAGCACTTTGCATGCAGGAGGCTGACTTCACATGTGAAGAGTTTACAGATCTTATGAAGCAGGGCAGTGGATGAAAGAGGGTACAGTGGAATACCTGAACTAGACGTGGAAGTGACTCAAAATGAAACCATGAAAAATATGAAAATTGAAAGGACATTGATACCTTCTCTTCCAAAACAGAAATTTGTTGAATAAGTTCTGCATTTTCTTTTGTGACATTATTGATCTTCTCAGAAATTTGCTGCAAATTAACTAAAGGGAGATAAAAACTAAGGTTATAAAGAATAAAACAATATAGTTGAATTACCTCAATGTATTAGCAGAAATTACTTGTTATCTGGCATTATGGCCAGAAAATAACTTCCTAACTTCACTACTAAGCCTGAAGAAAGCAAACTTTACTTACAGTAATTTTAAAATCAATATAACTAGTAGGAAATAAGAACCAAATGTCAATTATAATTCTATTTGAAATTATTGGAAACATAGGAAATACATGTTTTCATTGAAGTACTCTCATCAATGGAAGATGCCACTTCATTCTTAGAAAATTCCATTACTTGGCAGGCACTGTGGCTCAATAGGCTAATCCTCCAACTGCGGTGCTGGAACTCTAGGTTCTAGTCACAGTTAGGGTACCAGGTACTGGCCCCAGTTGCTCCTCTTCCAGTGCAGCTTTCTGTTGTGGCCCAGGAAGGCAGTGGAGGATGGCCAAAGTGCTTGGGCCCCTGCACCCACATGGGAGACTGGGAGGAAGCACCTGGCTCCTGGCTTCGGATCAGCACAGTGCGCAGGCCATAGTGGCCATTTAGGGGGTGAACCAACAGAAGGAAGACCTTTATTTCTGTCTCTCTCCCTCTCGCTGTCTAACTCTGCTTATCAATAAAAGAAGAAAAAAAAAGAAAATTCCAATTCTTCAAATAGTTTTGTCTTCACCAAAGAAGAAACAGAAATCAAACACTCTAGCTACTTACATTTCTATTCCCTAATTATGAAGGAAGATAAATATGTTCCTTCCTCAAATACCATCATTTGAAATTCCCATGAAAGCAGTGTTCAAAGTGTCAATCAATTGGCTATTCCAGGGCCTCCAAAGACTTCCTGCTGCCCTGAGGATTGTCTTTCACAAGAAGCAGAATGGAGGGCTCTGGAGAGATGGTTTTGAAGTATAGCATAATTTAATACAACCTGTTACCACTTAGTCTCTACGGGATCTGGATGAGCTCCCAACCCTCTCAGATAGGACTTTCCACTACCAAGATCAGAATGCTACTGCCTACCATAAAAGTGATCATCGTGCCTTGATGCACCCATCCTGTAAGGTGGATGGCTCACATAAACACCTAAAGGACTCCTCTGACAGTCTTTTAGTTCTCTCATCTGACCTCAGATGTATCCTTATTTTTGTTCTGTATTTGCCCATGGTATGAGCTCTGCTGCCCTGAAATCACCCTTCCAAACATGACCAGTGATAAATTCACTATAAAAAAAAATAAACACGCAGAGCCATTGCTGTGGTATAGTGAGTTGATTCTCCACGTGCAATGTCAGGAACCCATGTGGGTGCTGGTTCGTGTCCTGGGTGCTCTAGCTCTGATCCAACTCCCTGATAATAGCCTGGGGAAATGTCAGATGATGGCCCAAGTGCTTGAGCCCCTGTCACACATATGGGAGACCAGGATAAAGCTTCTGGCTTCAAGCTGGCCCAGCCCAGCCATTGCAGCCATTAGGAGAGTGAACCAGCAGATGGAATTCACTCTCTCACGCTCTCTCAACTCTGCCTTTCAAATAAACTAAATAGATCTGTAAAAATAAAACATGTTGGGCCTATTATGTGTCTGGCAGCTTTGGCTCTCAATAGATAGCAACACTTATTTATTGCCCATAAAGCCTATATGAAATCCTTCTTCCACCTTATGCTTCATTTCTGCTCTTTCTGCTCCGGCATTAAAGACTTTCCACGTAAATATCCTGACACATTCTCCCCTCCCCCAGAAAACCAGATCTTTTCTAAGTCTTAAGCTTTTTGATAGGTTCACATTATATAATTTTTTTAAAAAATCATTTTTGTATTTGAAAGTGAGAGAGAGAGAAGAGAGAAGAAGAAGAGAGAAGAGAAAGAGAGAGAGAGAGAGAGAGAGAGAGAGATCTTCCATCTGCTGGTTCACTCTTTAAGTGGCCATAACAACCAGGGTTAAGCCAGGTCACAGCCAGGAGTTTTATTCATGCCTCCCACATGGCTGACAGAAGCCCAAGAATGTGGGCCAACCTCCACTGCTTTTTTTCAGGGCATTTGCAGGGAGCTGGATTGAAAGTGATGCAGCCAGGACTTGAACTGGCACCCACAGGTGATGTCAGCATTACAGGCAGCAGTTTTACCTGCTATGCCACATGCCGGCCTCTCAGAGCATAGCTGAATCACATTTCCATTTCCACAAGAGCCAGGTCATGCCACAGTGCTCTCCCAGTGCTTCAGACTCTTAGCATCACTTGCTTCTTAAACATTTCTAGGCGAAGCTAAACTCATTTCAGTCTCCTATGCCCACTAATCCTTCTTCTTCCTGCATTTTTACAATAGATCACGAGTCCCTCTCCATTGTCATTTAGAAACCACTCCAGGAATACCAAAACCTTAAAGAAGTAATAAGCCAGGGAGTTATAAAAGTTACTGTACTTAGAGCTAGTTTAATAAAAGCTCACATCTAATACCAGTACTGAGAAAAGTATTATAAAGAAAACAGAGGCTAAAATCTTACCTTGATAAACTGGCTGTTTTATCTAGGACAAGGAAGAAACAAAGTTAACCTTATTATAATAATATATATTAGGAAATACATGCTGTTCCTGATGAAAGTAAAAACACTAATCTAGTGAAATAACAGTCATTTAGCTTAAAGGACTTCTAAAAGATTAAAAACAATGAAAGATATTTCCCACTTCATTGTGATCCTTCATTAAACCATTTCTGATAGGGTGGAAAAGTAAACAGTTATTTTTGACCAAAAAACCTATTTCCATTTTATTATTAAAGGAAAACTAATCTATTATTTTTATCCTAGAAATGGCAAATTTCATAATTAGAATGCAAATACATAATTTGAATTGTTTGGGGGGAAACCCAATATCTATAATGAAATTTTTTTGTTTTTTTTTTTTTGACAGGCAGAGTGGACAGTGAGAGAGAGAGAGACAGAAAGAAAGATCTTCCTTTGCCATTGGTTCACCCTCCAATGGCTGCCGCGGCCGGCGCGCTGAGGCCGGCGCAACGCGCTGATCCGATGGCAGGAGCCAGGTGCTTCTCCTGGTCTCCCATGGGGTGCAGGGCCCAAGGACTTGGGCCATCCTCCACTGCACTCCCTGGCCACAGCAGAGAGCTGGCCTGGAAGAGGGGCAACCGGGACAGAATCCAGCGCCCTGACCGGGACTAGAACCCGGTGTGCCGGCTACACAATGCAGAGGATTAGCCTAGTGAGCCACCTATAATGAGGTCTTAAAAAAGAAAAGCCTCTATGAAAACAGAATGAATTCTAAAACATTTGTACTGCAATACACCTCTTTGATTCACTAGAAACACCTTACAAATTTTAAAATACAGTTGGATGGGGGCTGGCACTGTGGCGCATTGGGTTAAAGCCCTGGCCTGAAGTGCCAGCATCCCATATGGGTGCCGGTTCGAGTCCTGGGTGCTCCTCTTCCAATCCAGCTCGCTGTTATGGCCTGGGAAAGCAGTAGAAGATGGCACAAGCCATTTCCATCAGTCTCTGCCACTTTCAGTACCTGTAAACTGTAATGCCAGCTAAACTTCTACCAAGATACCCATAAAATCTCTCACAAAGGACCTGTTTAAATCAGTTCCTTTCACTCAATGTAATGTCGTGATTTTAGTAAAGAATTAGAAGGCATATTAAAAGACAAAAAAAAATCAGTTTGATTTGAGAAGGCAAGCATTAGAATCACACTCAGATAAATTATCCTTCCAAAATGGACACAGACTTTCTGAGAAAAACATCAAAGAACTCTCTCTTTCATAAGCCACACTACAAAGATTTTAAAAGAGGCTCTTCAGACAGAAGGAAGCGAATATATGTCAGCTACTTGGATCTACATAGTGCAAGGGTAATAGGCAAAGGAGTAAGTGAGGGCAAAGTTGTTATCTTACTGATTGGTTTCTCAAACAACACTTTGCTTAATATAACTGAACAAAGTAGTAGTAACAATACATATAGCGATTATAGCTTATGGATTATAGCAATGTTGTAAGAAATGGGAGGGAGTTTGTGGAGTCACCTTTTACAACATAAATTTCATTTCCTGTGAATTGGATTACTTTTTAAAATGTGTATTTCCAATTCAGGGAGAACCACTTTTAAAAAAGACAACAAAAAGATAAGTTCAAGTATAATTGGTGTGCTAAACACAGTGAAATAAAACTTGCAAGATTCTAAGTTAGGCCCTGAAAAGGCATAAAAAGAGTGTAAGGCAAAGGGGGACAATGAATAAAAAACAGTAATAAACGTGATAGATGTTAAACCAATTATATCATTAATAATTTTAAATGCTAATAAAGTAAATACACCAATTAAAAGACCGTGACTGTAGAGTGGATTAAAAAATAATTCCCAACTGATGAATGTATACCAGGAGCCCATTTTCAAATCCAAGCTATAAATGCATTAAAAATGGGTTAGAGGAAAATGTACAGTTAGAACTAATCAAAAGAAAGCTGGAGTAGTTATTTCAGGGTCACACAAAACAAGCACAATGCAAGGAGCATTCAAGGATCACATGGTATTACAATAAAGATAAAGGATCCACTTTTCAAGAAGACATGACAATCCTTAATGTATAAATACCTAACAACAGAGCTTCAATATTCATGAGGCAAAACTTTACTGCAACTAGAAATAGATGAATTCACCCCACTCCTCCCTCAGTCACTGGCAGATCCAGCAGGAAGAAAGTCAGTAAAGGTTTAGAACAGCACTGAACAGCACTGAACAGCACTGATAATCTGCTGAATCAGTCCACACTACAGAATAATTCAGCCAGCAAAATGGAATACACTCACGCGGGCTCACACAGCACATTTACTCCATTCACTCAAGACATAAGTTCACTTTACCAAATGGAAAGGAGTAGGAATCATAGAATGTTTGCTCTCAGGACAGTGAAAGTAAGCTAGAAATCAATCAGAGAATTTTAAAACTTCAAAGCATTTGGAGATTACATCACACACTTCAAAAGAACACATGGGTCAATCTTTCCAGACTTTTAAAAAATGTGTCAATCCACTCTGGAAAAAAAAAAAAACCAACTAAATGAAAGATCTCTGTGAGTGAGATCCCAGTGGAAAGAACAGGTCTTCAAAGAAGGAGGTACCTTTCTCTGAAGGGAGGAGAGAACCTCCACTTTGACTATGACCTTGTCTAAACAAGATAAGAGTCGGAGAACTCAAGGGGCTTCCATAGCCTTGGAAACTCATGACTGGAGCATAGGGAGATTACTGATGCCATAAACAGGAGTGTCAATTTGTAAAGTCAACAACAGGAGTCACTGTGCACTTACTCCTCATGTAGGATCTCTGTCCTTAATGTGCTGTACATTGAGATTTAATGCTATAATGAGTACTCAAACAGTATATTTCACTCTGTGTTTCTATGGGGGTGCAAACTGTTGAAATCTTTACTTAATGTATACTAAACTGATCTTCTGTAAAAAAAAAAAAAAAAGAAACTATCAACTCCCAACTTGACTCTCACTGGGATTAAACATGACAATAGGTCTGATCTGATTTCATCATCATTTAAAAAATCATCTATTATTTTTCATTTATGTTTCTGTGTGGGAGCAAACTGTTGAAATCTTTACTTAATGTATGCTAAACTGGTCTTCTGCATATAAAGAGAATCGAAAATGAATCCTCATGTGATTGGAAGGGGAGAGGGAGTGGGAGGGGGGAGGGTTGCGGGTGGGAGGGACATTATGGGGGGGAAGCCATTGTAGTCCATAAGCTGTACTTTGGAAATTTATATTCATTAAATAAAAGTTAAAAAAAAGTGTCAATCCAAATTATAATGAAAACAACCTTATTAAAATTTAGGGTTATGGGGAAAACAATGAATGGAGGAGGACTGATTTTACCAGGTGCAAATGCAATTACTATACCAATTCCTCCTTATTTATCATATAAAACACTCCTAGTATACTCACAACAAGAACAGTTGTCCAGAAGAAAATGGCAAATGCCGAAATAGCCACGACTGTAGCAATAATGATAAGCTTCCGAAAAATCCCCCAAAAATCAGTACTGAGCTGAAAATGGCCAGGAAAGTTCTGAGGTAGCTGCAATAAAACATTGGAAACAGTGAGAAGACAGACATTGACTGTATTTCAGTTGCTAAGAACCCTAGGTCAGCCTGCAAGGAGTAATCATGTCCCTCAACTGACTCAAGGGGATTTCCTTGCTTCTAGGAAGACTGGGGTCCTGGTGTCTGGCACAATGGCTAAGACCCCACTGGTGATGCATGTATCCCACATCAGAGTGCCTGGGTTTGAGTCCTGGCTTTACTTCCATTCTATCTTCCTGATAATGTGCCCCCTGGGAGTTAGCAGATGACAGCTCAAGGATGTATATGGGTGTCTACTGTACAGGTGGAAAAACTGGACTGAATTCCAGGCTCCTGGCCTTGGGCTTGGCTCATTCTTGGCTATTGTAAAAACTGGGAGAGTGACCCAGCAGGTGAGGTGGAGAACATCTGTCCTTGTCTCTTTGTGCCTTTAAAATACAAATAAAAAATAATGAATTAAAGTTTAAAAATAAGCATAACTTGCCAGCCTCAAGTTGCTTGGGTGGTTGGTAGTGTTGTTAGATATCTGTGTGGGTGTCTTTGAGCACAGAGTATCCTGGTTCATTGTGGGCCCTGTACTCTCCTTTGTCTAATACTGGGTGAGAGTTCCTCTCCACCACATCTTCTCTTGTATTGATGATTTCTTTTAAATACCAGTACCCATCAAAACGTGAGTGAAAAGCTTATAAGGAGAAAATCAAATTTTAATGCTTAAATAAAATCAAAAGTGGCAAGAACAATGGTAGCATCAAAACACAAGATTTCTTTAACAGTCTTCATATAAATTCTATTGAACCACTATGTGAATTAAGACAAATGTTTCAGCTGAGTAAGTTAACACTGTGTTATTTACAACTTTTCTACATAGGTTGCTTTGGATTTAACTGTGTATTTGTTGAAATTTGGCACCTTAACCCTAAACAATTCCTATAGGATGGTGAATTAAACAGAGATGTTCATTCAGTAGAAATAATTCAGATGAGTTGGGAATGAAAGCAAATGAATTACTGATCCATACTGCAACATGAATTCTCTCAGACATATTGTCCTGAGCAGAATCAGGTGATACAAAATAGTCCATATGGCACACATGCATCTATTTATATGAAACTCTAGAAGAAATGTAATATAATGTTTAATCTAAATTGATATATAATGTTTTAATCTAAATTTATATAAACATTAACATTATATTTATATGTATAAGTTTATACATATCAATTACAATGATATATATTATATATCATGATGTGTGTGTATATATATATATATAAAATGATATATCGTGAGAGCAGGTTAAGGGTTGAGTCACTTCCTCAGAAGCCATTGTAGATCCTGAAAGGGATGTTGATTATATTGTTATACGTGTTTTTCAAGGCTAACAAGCATTAAATGTTTGTGACTTTTGCTCTATGTTAACTTTACTTCTAACAAGAAAGCATATATAAAAAATTAGTGGTAATCATCCTTAACCATATATAAAGAAGCACAATGATGCCTGCAATTCAATATGAAATGCACCCAAAGTAAGATGAACTGATACAAAAGTAGGAGGAGGGAGGGGTGAATTAATATATTAATTATATTATATTTATATAATATTAATTATAATAATATTTTAATAAAATATTCATCAATACTGTATTTTAGAGCTTATTTAAAAAACAACATATTTATTTATTTGAAAGCAGAGTGGCACAGAAAGAGACAGACACAGATCTTCCAGCCACTAGAGTTCACTCTCCAAATGGTTGCAATAGCTGAATCAGGGCCAGCCTGAAGCCAGGAGCCAGTAACTCCATTTGGGTCTCCCATGTGGGTGGCAGGAACTCAAGTATTTGGGTCATCATCCACTGCTTGCCACCAGGTTCATTAGCAGGGAGCTGAATCAGAAGCAGAGCAGCTGAAGTAGAGGATGCACAGGGAAATCATGGAAGTTTATGGAGGGACCACATTCTCACTATGGAATACTACTCAGCCATAAAAAAGAATGGAGTCCTGTCTTTTGCAACAAAATGGATGCAATTGGAAACCATTATGCTTAGTGACATAAGCCAGTCTCAAAAAAGACAAATATTATATGTTTTCTAGGATATATGGCAGTTAATATAGAATACCAAAACATCTATAGGAATGAAATGCCCATTTTGGACTATTATTGTCATATGTAGCTCCTGTTTATACTCCTGTTGAACTGCGGTCTTCCTAATTTTTACTTGTGAATATTAGTGGTGAATTAAGTTTTTGAATATAGTTTGGATTAAAATGATGGCTTTGCAAAAACTGATGAGAGGGGAGAGTTGGAAGGGGATTGGGGGAGGAGCAGGGCAGTGAGGAAGTGTGGTTGTCTTCTTGGAACTGTACCTAGGAAAAACAGAAAATCTCTTCTCTTAATAAAATAATTAAAAGGTTTAGAACTAGAGTAAGCAAACTTGTCAACTTTAAATGATAAATGAATGATGAGAATCATTTGAGAGTTTTCCATTTCTATGCATCCTTCAATTTCTAATTTCTTCCTATTCCCTTTCTCTCTTGAATGATTTGGATTTTTTATGAGCTCAACATTTTCCTGTAGTCCTACCAAGTAGAATGAATATTAACTTATCTTTTTACTATTATTCTGTTTTCCAGCCTCTTTTCCTAAAGTTGTCAGTCCCTTAGATAAACATTATTTGACTTACACTTAGGTTACATATCTATAGCTGTCATCAAGTACACACAAAGATTTACCAAATAGTTCATGGAAATGCACATTACGAAAAAAAATGCCTAAATTTCAAAAAAATTGTAACTAAATTAGCTTACCTTCTAATCACATTTTGTATGAAATTTTTGAAGTGTCCTCATAAGTTTATATATCCCCTGGATGGTCACTTTTGTTCTCCTTGTCATTATTGATGGTGTCAGTTCTTTTGCTTTCCTGACTAACTTGCCAGTTAGATTGGCAGATATTTCTTTATGACTCATATTGCCCATCCACCAGGGGACAGATTTGTGTCTGTTTCTGCTTCCCTTGGAGTTCCAGATAGTATTTCTTTTTTAAAAAGTAGTTATTTATTTGGGAGGTATACAAGAAGGAAAGAGTGCTCAAACTGCTGGTTTACTCTCCAAATACCTAAACTGACTGGGTCTGGAATGGGAGTAAGTCTGGAGCCAGAAACCTTTTCTGGGTCTCCAATATGGGTAGAAGGAATCCAAGTACTTGAGCCATCATCACTCCTTCCTAGCGTCTGCACTAGCAGGAAGTTGGAGTCAAGTCCCAAAGGAGAGAATCAAACCCAGGCCCTCTGATGCGGAACATGTGCACCCTAACTTCTATACTAAATGCCCCCTCTCTATATAATGGCTTTGTGTTATTTTTATATTATTTTCAATTAATTGTGTCATTCTAATAATAGTCTTTGAGAGATTCTTTGGGGCTTGTGGATATACATTGTATGAAAATCATAATTATTTTCAATTATATTTCTCTGAACTAATACCTATGATACAGCACTAAAATTGTACTGATGAAACATCTGTACCTTCCAGTGCTTCTCCTTCTCTAGTGCTAAGTTATATAAAGTGTATCATATTTTAAAAATGCACTAAAGCCTCTCTTACTAAGGGACTCTTTTACAAAGTGATACTTTTTAATAAATCTTAATGTCCACATGAATGTCAAGGAATATTTTTATAAAACCATAAATATGATGAAATACATAGTTACTTCTCAAGATTTGTTGATGTTGAATCAAAAATATAAGTGTATCTTGATACAACAATTTTTTGAAATAATATAGACTCATTAGTAGGTTTCTCACTGTGCAGATTTTCTGCATCCTTGTAGGAAATGTTGAGAAAGCACTGTCTGTGGTTCAATTCTACTTTCATTTCCTCACTTTCCTCTATTAGTTGATGTCAGTTTTCCCTCAGACTCTGCACTCCTTCCTTTTCTTCTTTCTATATCTTCACTTCTCTTTGAGCCACTTCATTAACTGGGATGGCTTCAGACATTGCTGCAATTCTGCTGCTTCCCAAATCCCTATGTGCAGGCAGGATATCACGTAAGCTGTCATTCATGTCTGGTTGCCAGTTGAAGTCCCCACCTATTTAACTCCAGAAACGTCAGACATGAGGTGTCCAACATGAGTGTCACTTCTTTACATCATATTCTTTGTTCTTCTTTCCAAATTTCAATTTGCACTGCCACTGTCTATCCCATCCCTCGTGCACACAGAATGGAATTAAATTCCACATTCATCCTGTGCCAAACAAATCAGCGGTTACTCCTCTTCCTGATCCCCTCCCCTCCTTTTTTCTTATGTACATCGAATTTCTTGTTCTACCTTCTTGCTCTGTGTCCTAATGGTAAGTGGTCATGTCTCACTCTATTTTCTTCTACTCATTAGTTCTTCCCCATTTGCTTCTCTGGGGACAACATCTCAAGTGCAAATCTACTCAAATATCTACCACATTTTATTGGTCCCTCATCAATTACATCCTGTGTTTTAGGGAGGGATCAATAATTGTCATGTTAAAAAATTAAATGTTTTGATTGTTGGGGGAAATATTAGGATATGAATAAAAATATAAACAATTCTACAAAAATAGCAAACACATAAAATTTTATTGTTGGAATTCAGTCAAATGGATAGGTGAATGATCACTTATTTACCAGTTCCTTGTACACCTTTACTGCATTTATCTCTCACAAACCAGGACCACCCACCTAGAAGTGGTGCAGTAGTTAGCACTACCACCTCACTTATGTTCTTTCTGCTTTTACCAATTGACTGGTTGTATCATATTCATGTGAATGGGGCCAGCAATATGGTGTACTGAATGATGCCAGTTCTGGACCCAGCTGCTCCACTTCTGATCCAACTCTCTGCTATGGCCTGGGAAGGCAGTGGAAGATGGCTCAAGTGCTTGGGCCCCTGCACCCATGTGGGAGACCCGGAGGAGGATTCTGGCTTCTGACTTCAGGTTGGCACAGCTATGGCTGGCTATTGT